TCCTCTTTTGCCCTCTTTTTTCTTTCCCCTCCTTTTTTTTCAGCAGCAAAATAGGCAAAAGGAGGAAAGTTTCCCCAGAGAAAGAAGAAAACAAAAAACATTTAAAAAAAAATTATCACGTTCTAAATCCATCCTTTTCACAAACCTGAAAATGAAAACAGCTTTGAAATTTTTAACCTTTTGGGGGTTTCTCCTCCACCCCCTCATTTTCCACCCAGCTGTAGGCTACATCACATCTTCCAGCTCATTAACAGTGTATCAGGATACAGTTGGGGCCACAAACAGGAGGAATCAGTCTGACGTGTCTCCTCTGTGACGCCTTTTGTTCACATAACGAAATCTGCCACAGAATTCTGCCCAATGACCAGTCTCGGATGGTGACCAGGCCCCACTTAACACGGATATAAGCAAGTCAAGATGAAGGTGCATAGGCTGTCCAGAAGTTTACACGCTTGGTGGCCTTTACCCAATCTGGATAGTTTCTTACGCTCCCCAGCACTTTGTTCTCTACCACATTCCTTCCTTCAAAACAAAACCCTGCCCTTTTTTTTTTTTCTTTTTTGGTAATCCTGCCTGACACTTCTGCTTATTTTGATTGTAGTTTCTTGGACAGCCAATACTAAAGCCACATCTTGAGCAGCTGCAACTGTCCCTGGCTGAACAGCTCCGATGGGATGGGAAGACGGACTTTATGAACATTGAAACCAAACGAACTGAGCCACTCTGCGACCTCTGATCAGGAAACTGACCTTGGATTCAACAAAAGCCTCAGATTTAACTGTTTCTTTCCTCCAAGAGCCTGATGCTCAAGTGTGATTGTCCTAAATGCACCTGTTCCGCAACAACAGGTACAGCTGACTAGTCACAATAGATTTTTTTCCTATCTATCCATGAAACAATGAAATAGAAGCAGGTACAACGGTTATTGGTTTGTAACGTTCAGACATAGACCAAGCAAACAAAAACAGAGATTAGTTTTGCATCTGTATTTCTCTTATCAAACTCTGTCTATCTTGGTATTTATAAAGTCCCAGTTCAGCCTAGTGCTAGAGCATAACCAAACTAACCCAAAGCATACCATCAGCCTGAATGTCTGTAATCTCGTCCCACCAGCCTGTGCTGAGAGCATGCACGATAATATCTTCTTGTTTTTCTCCTTCTGGGGAGCTAGTGCAGCATGGCTGATGTAAAGGGGTGAGTCCAAACGTAGGAAGGCCCCTGGCCATTTCATACCTAGATGAAATCTGTAGCCAGCTACCAAGAAGGCCCATGTGTACCAAGAGGTATCTGGGAGTTTCACTCCAGAGAATAATCCACTCCAGTGTCCCTGAGCAGCACAGCCATCTTGGTAAGGCAGTCATGGGAAGGGAGACAGATACTGAGATATCAGAAGATATTAGGAGTCCTGAGATACTAGCCATTGAAAGACCTTTGGAGGGGAAGGTTAGGGCCTGGTACTACCTGGAGGGCATCAAGGGACCGTTCTCAGAACCCCACGGAAGTTAGAAGATGTACTGGCACACGGTGCACTAACTGGCGTTTCTTTATGGCATTCACTGGTACTTAGATAGGTACATTAGATTACAATCTTTAATGGGCCCAGCTCTGCCCTCATTTACACCGGTGACATCAGTGGGGTTACCCGAGTGCCACTGGGGGCAGAACTTTTGGCCAGAAATCTTTACTTACTGATCCTCTTTAGGCCAAATTGAACCCCAAGGAGTCTTCAGTGGGACTGCATAGTACCCACGACCTGATTTGGGCCCTTTACCAATATGTGTTCTCTGTGATCTTCCAACTAAGATCCCTATGGTTTGCAGGGAATACAGGAACTGCACAAACTTTTTTGTCCGTAATTCACCCTCTGATTACAACCGCCAGCTTCCCCCACTGTCCTGCTAGTATTTCTAAAACAGTCCTATGTTCAACAAAGTCAGCCTCCAGTCACTTCTCCCTGTTCCTTACCAATCAGACTCCACAGAGCTGCAGACGACCCCAGTCCCAATGAGACACTCTGATTTCACTGGGAAGGACTCGGCCGATATTCCGAGGGGTTCCTCTCTCTCTTTTTAGCTCTGCATCTGCCCTCTGGACCAAACATGAACCCTCATCTCCCCAGTCTGAGCCTGGTGCCCTACACACAAACCAAACTTTTACAAAGGCAGGTGGAAAACGCCCCTGGGTAAAGCCTGGGAATTGTTAACACCCGCAAGTCACTAACATTGATCTCCCATTTCAAACAGCTCCTGAAAGCGGACAAATCTTTTAATAAACAGTCACGGTTTGCTTTTATTCCCTGCCCCTTTACTGAAAGCTAATGGGTTTAGCTGGCATTGTTGATCTCCTCTGAATGCTTCACTAGACAGATCCTGATGGGCTGAAGTGTATGTTGCAAATTTCCATAGCAGAGAACCAGGCCCTGCCCCCAACATTTATAAATGAGTTTATAAATCAACTTTTTTTCATTTGCAGCAGGGTAAAAATCCTTAGACAAGTCATCAGTCTGGTCCCACATGTTTTTCCCCCCTCGAGATCAAATTTCTAATAACACTACATTTTGTTTAAGGCATAAAGCGCCCGGCCATCAAAATATCTCAGCAAACCGTAGAAAAACACAAGTATCGATTTAGGAAGTCAGTGGAGGTTTTTGCCTTTGTCTTCCATGCGAGTGCCTCGGTGCCTCCCAACGTGAAGCGTAAATAACATGCAGGGCTGCAAATAAAAGTAAGGCATGTGTTGGGGGAAGGCAGAGAGAGAGAGCATCACAGTACTCGGCAGAACGGGCTTTTTTAATGGTTTGAGTTGCGCCACCCCAAAATAACGGTAATAAAAAAAATAAATCTGTTGGATTGAAAATGAAAGATGTTATGGGTGTCAAGCTGCAAAGAGATCTTTCCACTTGGAACAGCCACTTGGGCACTTCGGGGGCATTTTTATCTCCCATCAAAATCAATTGCATGTGGCAAGAACACCCCAATGACTTTTAGGACCATATCAGGTCCAGAGGACCTGACACAGCGCGCTGAGGCTGCTCCAGCGGTCGCACGGGCGAACGGAAGGGGCGGCTTTTGTTGTTGTTGATTCCGCCGTACAAAAAGAGGCTTGCGTTAATTAAAACGGCGACTCCTTAAAAAAGGGGCCAGGCGCGGATATGAACCAAGCAAAGGCAAGAGAATTCAGAGTTCAGGACAGCACAGTTGCTCTCGCTGTCCTGCATCGGGCTAAGGTGCTGTAGCTCGTGTCATGTGTGTGACCAGCCCGAGTGCCCCACGAATACAATCTGGGGGTAAAAAGGTGAGATGAAATTTAGGGCCTGATCTTGTGCCCACTGATACATCATCAGGAGTTTTGCCATTGAGCTCAATGAGAGCAGAATTGCACCCCCCCCCCATCTGAGCTGTGAATTTCCCTGCTTCTGTAGCTCAGAGTTATTCTCCCAGATGAGTTTGATATAATTTTTTTTAATGCTGACCTATAGGATAAGTGCAAACCCACGGCACTTTTCTGAAATCGAGACATGAGGAAGCTTTTACTCTTACAAGCCAAGACTTGACTCCCTTGCAGAAACGTTGGCAAAATCCAGCTGGAGATACACTGAAAACACAGTAAAACAAAAACAAAGAACCATCAGGTGTGGCCCATATTTTCTAGAAAAAGAAGGAAGATGCCACCAAAATACATCTTTTGGGTCCACACTTGCGTGTCAATGTTTAACCGGCAGGCACCTTTAACCCCAGCGATTAAATTTATCTCTGCCAGACGGCACACTGCAAATGCCTGCAGAGGAAGGACAGGAGAGGGGTGGAAAAGCAAAAAAAAAAAAAAAAAGGGGGGGGGGGTGAAACAAACAAAGAAGTAAATAAAGAAAAGAAAAAAGGCCTGGTTTCATGTCAAACACTGCTCCAGAAATAAAACAGAGCATTAGCTCAAGGCAAGGCAAAGCCACAGCCCTGTTGTGCAAAACAAAACAAACCAGTGTCTGGAGTGGGGGACGCCCCTCGAAATGTCACCCACCGAACACCCTGCTTTCACTCCAGAGCTGCGTTTTCTTTTTAAAGGGACAACGCGGAAGGGGCTGGCTTCTGCGCCCCAAACCTGTGGCCGGAGTCTGAGGAGCCCCCTCGGAAGGCAAACTTGAGTCGTTTCTGTTGTCGCTCTCGCTGCGCCGTAGCTGGTCCCGCGTTTGAAAATAGCGCTTGCGACTGTCACTTTCCTACGCAGATCTCTCTCCCTCGCGCGCGCAGTTTGCTCCCTAAAAATGTCTCCAGCTTGTCCAATCTCCCCTCTCTTCCTGCCCCCCCCCACCCGGCCCCACGCCAGCGCGGGTTCAACGCAATGCCAGCCCCCTGCCATCTGCCAGGCGCCCAGGACACGACGCAACCCACATTTCCAACCCAGGGTCACCTCGCTTTGTAAACCAAAAAAAAAATCAAATCCCCCCCCCCCTTCCTGAGCAGTAGTTTAATCTGTGGTTTCCCTCTGCAAAACACAATGAAGCTCACTCGACACGTTGTCTTACCCCAAAAAGGCTGGGGGGGGGCAGAGGGGGAGGGAGAGGGAGAGAGAGAGAAAAAACCAAAAACCCCAGACACTCATCGGCTAAAACTGTTCCTTGCAAAGCGGGACAAACCGAACAAACAAGGATCGAGGCTTCCGAGGGCAGTCGGCGAAACTGACAACAACTCTCCACGCGGCAGCGTTCACCCCAAATGCCTCCCGTCCCCATGCATTAAACAAGCTTTCTCCAGCCAGCCGGCCTGCCTGCAATCGCCCGTGGAAAAGGGGGCACGGGGGTGTCCCGGATCAAACGATCAGCGCTGCCATTAAGCCACTTTTCTCAGACACCCCCCCACACACACAAACACACACATCTCCTCCCTCCACTTCTCCGACCGTCTCTCCTTTCCCCGCTTGCCCCCCAAACCCCTAGCGAGCTGGAGCGTTTCAAGCCCAAGACATCGCGCCGTACGGCAAGAAGAAATCCTTTGAAACAAACTCACCCAGTGGCAGGAAATGTTTGGTGTCCATATCGGGTGTTTAACTCATGCCAGAACGATTTGTGAAGATCGGTGGAGGCAAAACACACACACGCGCGCGCAGAAATCAAAGCAAAAGAGAGGAAAAAAAAACTGGGGGGGGGGGGAGGCAAAAAAACAATCAAAGACTGCAGCTTTGCATGGATTTAACAGTAAGCAGCAGCAGAAGGCACACGGCCCGGGAGCGGGGGGCGGGGGGGGATAGGAAATCCAGTCACAGTGTGTGTAAGCCCAAGGCAGGGGGAGTTGTTTCAAACTCACCCAACAATGTAACTAAAGTACTTGTGTCTCTGTGTCTCTCTATTCCAACTACAGAAGCTGCAATGCAAAGGGGACCCCGCCAAGGGGGAGCGGGAGGGCCAACCTGGTAGCAGCGACGGCGCTGCCCGCTGGGAGGCTGCAACCAACCAATGTTAAGGGTTGGCGGCTGTGTGCTTCTGTCCTCAACTAGTTTCCTTGAGGGTGGGGCGGGGGTTTTAAGAGGGGGCTGCTTTAGGATCAGAAGAACAACCATGGTAAATGGTCTTATGCGTGCAAATGTTAATTTAACAAAGCTGCCGGATTTAAAGAAGACTATTACTGGCAAATGCTGGCAAAGTGCCAGCTCACAGGTACATTTATTTGAGGAGGAGGAGGATAAAGGACCTGCTCTGTTGTGTAAATGCTGCTAGATAAAGCCCTTGCTGGAGTGACTCCCTTCAGTGCTTTTATGGGGCTTTTTGTCTGGGTTAGAAAGGCTGGACCCAGTCCTGAAACTCGAGTTTGTACAGGTAAGTAGCTAGTAAGGTGATTGAGTAGAGCCAATAACATCAATGGGAAAGGAGTACTTGTGGCACCTTAGAGACTAACCAATTTATTTGAGCATGAGCTTTCGTGAGCTACAGCTCAGCTGTAGCTCACGAAAGCTCATGCTCAAATAAATTGGTTAGTCTCTAAGGTGCCACAAGTACTCCTTTTCTTTTTGCGAATACAGACTAACACGGCTGTTCCTCTGAAACATCAATGGGATTACTTCTGAGAGTAAAGGATGCAAGATGGGGCCCTTTGGGCTGAGATTTTCAAAGCTGCCTAAGGAATTGATTTTGACGGGAGGTTGGAGTGTTTGTATTCCAGAGGCAGGTCTGCAAATCTCTCAGCCTTATAGAGAAAATTGGTGGGTGGGTAAATAGGCTAGATCTGCTGGTCCGTCTGTCTGTCGGTTGTTCAAATGATCAGTCGATCTACCATAGATTCATGCACGCACACATGACAAACCACCTTTAAGTAACTGACACAAGTCACAAAGTGCAGGCTTAAGGAAGACAGGAACAAGCTCCTGCCCCTCTGGAAAGAGCCAAGTGTGAGTTCTGACTCAGGTTGTCTCATAGACTTTACGGTCAGAACAGGGACCATCATGATCATCTCGTCTGACCCTCCTGCTACTTAAACATGCTCTATTTCACTTCCTGTAACAGAGATACAAGTCAATAACTAATGGTAGGTGTGCAGCTTATCTGAGAGCTCACATGCCCACTCCAGCCTCTCCGGTGCAAACCCACCTTGGCTTTCTTCTGGTTTTAACTGTCTGTGCTACATATCCAATATGTTGGGATGTCTCCAGCTTTAATAAATGACGCTCCGCCTGTTAAGAACAGATATTAGTAACTTGACGGACTGGAACAACTCGACTGTGAGTAAAGCATAGGAAGCATCATATCGACCCGCACTCTGGACGACCACAATGTGCATAACAAGTAGGTTTGTTCCATAGATTGGAGTTGCTCTCGAGCTGTGGGGACGGGGGCCTGGAATGAGTGGCATGATAGCACAGGTAACCTGAAGTGGTATCGGACTGAGGGCCAGGGTGTATGAACTCAGGTGAATGGCCCTACATTTGAGAGACAAACCATTTACAAGAGCAAGTAGGAGAACACCAGGGGATCCCAACCTGGCAACCCCTTCTCACCTGACTGATCCTGTTGAAGGAGACTCATGTGAACAAGGACTATGAGTGTGAGAGGCCTTGAGGATCAGGTCTTGACTTTTTTGGGGGATGGAACGAAATTTTAAGTCTAAAATGAGGAAAGGTTGCAAATGTATGACATGCTGCCATGGCATGTCTGTCTGTCTGTCTGTCTATCTTGTGCCCATCATTGTGGTATCTGAGCCCCTGTAGACAAGGATAGAGAAAGGCTAAGGTAATTTACTATGCTAACAACTCCTCCTGCAGCCTCTTTAGCACATCCCTGTCAGGGAACAGGCACTCACCCTCCCTTCTACCCAGAGGGCAGGAGGATTGTGATCACACCAAAGGGGCAAACTGCTGCTAATCCCCAGGATCCTTATGTGGACCAGCTCTGGGACCGTGAACAGAATGCGGCCTCCCTCTCCGTCCCTTTCATAGCTCGCGATAGCAACACATTACAAGAGGAATGAAAAATGCCAGCGGGAACCATTCTCTATCAGCCGCAAGTGGCTGCAGCCTGGCACTCATTGGGAGCTGTAGAAGGAAAAACAAAATAAAGCAGTGCACTCCTTTTTATCCTTTGCTCCTGTAATTTAAGCAGGTCCAAACAGATTGGTGTGTGTGTGCGTTTATAACTGGTAACATCATTTGCTCCCAGGCTGGGACCTTGGTGGCAAGTTTCATCTCCCAGTCAATTTTTATGGCGGAGTTTGTTATATTAACTCCTGGGGGGAAATAGTAACAAACGGGAGTGGGATTGTTAGAGGAGAGCAGGTCCAGCCTTTCGAACTATGGTGCAGCTGTGGGAAAGTCAGACACTTAATACATGCACGTGTGTGACACCCAACACGACAAGGGCAGAGATCAACATCTTCGAATCGGAAGTCAGCTATAATCAATGGTGTCCGAACGCACTAATCTAAAAAGGGCTGAACTCATTTATAGGGGCAGCAAACCTCAGGCTCGCCACGGAAATGAGCGAGGTAAATGTGCGTGCGTGTGTAGATCAATATATCCAAATTCTGCGCTCGTTGACACCACTGAAAACTCTATTCAAGCCACTGGGGTCACATCAGTGTCAGTGAAAGAAAAAATTGGCCCATTACGAATCTGTGTATGTTTATATAGGTAGGTTGGTAGATAATAATGGGTTACACTGTCAGCTGGTGTATGCAGGCTACACCCCTGTGAGACGCTAGCTGAGGATCTGGCTCAGTGGTGCATCCCACAGCATGTTAAAGCTGAGATACACAATAACACAGTAGCCACTGCCGGAAACAGACCTTTGTAGACTATAAAACATCACATTTTCCTATCTAGTATGTTTCTCCTAGCAAGCTGTTTACAGTAAATTACGTTTGCCCCCCAACCAGCCCAACAGAGCTGGTGTTCAGTGTAATCCAAACGTTAATTGTAGTGTCAATAGGTCTGATCCTGCAGTCCTTATTCCAGTGATCCTGCCAATGGGAATTTTGCCCTGGAGAAGGCTGCCAGACGAGGTCCCATATTTGCAGTCTCCGTGAGACGCCGGAAGGTGGCAAGGATATTTTTATGCTGTTACAAACCATTCCCCCCACCCCACCCCCTGGCCATGAATTTTAATGTGCTTTAATAACCTGCATCAGGCTGTTCTGTGCTACACTGAACTCTGTCTTGGCACTTTTTAGTAAAGACTTGAATAATTTAAAAAATGATCCATTTTCAGGGCCTTTGGCTTGTACGTCTGTTTGGCACTGGGCTTCTTGGAGTTCCGACACTGTCTAAGAAGGAGCTGTCCTGCAAAACACCTTCCGTGCCTCTTGGTCTCTGTTCATCATTGGTTGTCTCCCCGTTGCCTTGAATTTATTTTTAATTTCACAGTTAGGGACAGTATGAATCACACCCCACAGCTTTTGTTGGTGCAGGATAACAGCTCATTTGCTCATGTTTAGGGACTTCTTGTTTCTCACATAACAGTGGGAAATGGATTCGCTGTGGTTGGCTCTTGCTATAAAATCTAGCAGTGTCTGAAGGGGATTGGGTGTTTAAATCCTTTCGGTGGCTTTGAAAATTGCAGTCTTGATTATTTTTCCTACTGGGATTTATTTATTTGATCTCATCTGCAACTCAGAGTTGACTGATGGAACAAAATTAGAACTTGTTGTGGTTTCCTGCTGTTCCATGATTTCCCACATAAAGAGCAAAAAGCAGGCATTTTCCACTCTAGATTACTTTTATAGCAGATTAAGGAAAACAGCGAACAAAGAAATAACTAATATAAGGTCTCCATGAGAGATAACCCTGTGTATATTATGGAAATTTGCCTGGCTGTAACTACTTCACTGTGGTTGCACTGATCTAACTGAGGGAGAATTTGGACCAGTGGGTAGAAATGTCTCAATGCCTTTCGTGTACATGGTAGTTCAGTGTCCGAAAGATGTCATGCTGTTTTCCCTTTGTCACACAGATGCAAATTTCCCTCAGCTAGGCAACCCCTAATGCACTGCTTCTGAAATGGACACACAGTGTAGCAGACAGGGAGACAGCTCTACACTGAAAGGTGTGATGAGGAGAAAACAGAATGACACCTTTCATACAGGCCTACTGTGCTTGCTAAACCCATCAGGGCCCGACTCTGATCCTCAGTCGGACCAGTTCAACCCCATGAAAGTCAATGGGGTTGCACCGCACTGCAGTCAGAATCTGGTTCATTGCCTTTAAAACTGGACACTGGTAGTAAGGGTCCCCTATTATGCCCACCCACCCCTCACCTCCACCTGCCGCCAGCCCCTGTCCTTTGTAGTGTTACTGTTTTGCCCAGGAAAACAAGATACCTAGAAATTGTTCCACTTGCCTTTCAAGCACTCATAATCCTAAAGTTTCTTGACCATCTCAAATCCCTTCTGACCTTTGGATTTTGCTAGCAGATCCCAAATAGCAAACAAAATGCCCGTCCCTCAGCCCAGTATTCTACTTCCCTCGTTCCAAACACATGCAGATTAAATAAATACAGAGCACGGGGCGAGGCAGGCGCTGGGTGAACAGCCTGAAAAACCTGTTTTCCCTCCCACTCTTCTTCTGTCTTATCTCTCTAGATTGTAAGCTCTTTGGGGCATGGCTGTCTCTTGCTGTGTGTCTCCACAGTTCCCAGCACAGTCTCCAGATCTCAGCTGGGATCTCCAGACACTCCCCAAATACAAAGAATCAACAGTAATGATAAAACCTGTTGAGTCCAGTTGCTGATTCCTACAAGACACATTGCAAATGTAAACCAAAACAATCTTAAAGGTATTTCCATAAGCATTGTAGATTCAAAGTTATCAGTTTATTTTTCCCAGAAGCAT